TTCTAAATTAGAAACACGTGTGTGAAGGGGCCAAAAAGTCACTTATCGGTGAGCTTCAAATGCGGCAAGCACAAACTGCCTATTAAACGCCTGATTTCACTTTCAACCAACCAACCATGTGTGGTCGATTTTTTCACAGTTCCGAAAGTGAGTTAAAGTTGCAGCAATTAAACGCGTAAAAGTTTGCCTTTAATTAACCACCTTTGCTTCAAAACTCGAAATCACAAACTCCAACCCGCGAATTAAATCCGAACATTCAAATAAACCACTTGAACTTCACAGTTCAATTTCGATTTTTTCCAAGTCCAAAATTGGAATATTCGACTTTAAACCGCCAATTTTTTGTTCAAAATCCAAAAGTTTCAGTTAGAAATGCCGCAAGGCCTGAAAACTGAAAAAAGCGCGACTTTCAACTTAAAATTGTGAATTTACGCGAACAAGCGCATGCGAAAACAAGATCTCGAGTTTAGTGTTCTTTGAAAGACGCCTTTAGATTGAAGAAAACTTTCCCATTCCCTTTCTTGACTTAACGGTTATAAAATTATTTCATGTTCCGTGCTGTGGATGGTTAACTCGGGCCACCCTTCCGGCCAATGTTCTTCGGCTGGCCAATAACAGTTTACGGCACTTTTAACCCAAACTAACTGGGCGATTAATCATGGGATTGTTGCAAACTGCATTTCACCTGGTCGCGCTATTATTGAGCCAATAAGAACAAAAAATCACGCATTCTCCGTCCAGAAATAAACTGGCGAAAAAAAAGTGGGTAATTGGGCCACATCACATGTCAGTCACAATGAAAATCTGGACATGTTTATGGTTGGCTTCGCCTATCATCGATCATTGTTTTGCAGGAATTTTCAAATAATCGCTTTTCTATGTGCCACTCATCGGTGGCTGCATTTTCCACTAATTGGAGTGACATTGAGCTCACTATTGGCTGACGTCAACTTTTTGCGAGAAATAAGGTCTATACATACATAACTAAATCTGGTCATGGACGTCAGCAGGTGAAAACACCCTGTATATTCAGCAGTAACAATGCTGCAAAATAAATATTGCTCTAAACCTCAATGCAATTAATAACTCGTGAAGGCGTTTTTCTGACTAAATAGATCATAAAGGACATATTTATAGTGCCAGTCCCATTCTAATCCAATAATTTACTTTAAACCAAACACGTCTCCTGCTATCCAAATAGTCGTATATCAACGGCGGAATCGCTTAGTAAATACCTTGGCGTTCTCACTTAAATAAATCGGTAAATAAGTAAATAAAATTTAATCTCCAAGAGGTCTGTACTGATTATGATTGAAGTCGCTCCTATTGCCAGTCGAGTGGCCAATCAAACAGTTTGGTGGCATTTATTTCGGGCGATTGCCGTTGATTGTCGAACTGTAAATCATTCAATGGATCAAATTACAACAAGTCGCCGACCATCGCGTTAAACAACACAGTCTTATCAGTGTTATCAGCGACTTTGTATTGATTTATCCGAAAAAGTTGGATTGGGTAGCGACTGATTTTCGACCTGTGCTGATATCAATTGCTCGTTGCTGCGATAACGCGGATTTTTCCAGATAATTGACTTTTTAGAGCTTAGGGCAACAGAAGCATTCAAAAACTGAAAACGTGAGCTCACGAAAATGAAATTAAAAGCTAAATAACAGACTGAAGAAGACACAAAATGAAGAGTAAAAAAAGGGACGAACAAAGAGCGCAAGCACAAGTGTCCAAAAGCCACTCATCCAGATGAGAAATCGGCACGAACATTTTTTAACTGGACAAACAACAGTAGAAAGTAAAATCATGCAAACTTACCACTGTAATCGGATACATGGGATTGATAATGGTGAAGAGCAAGACATGATTAGGTTTGGTTTCATCTGGTCGTTTTCTTCGCGGTTCTTCTGTGGCAGCATTGAAGCCCTGAAAGCAAAACGGTGTGTGAAAAAACAGGCAAATTAAACGCATTTCTTTCGGGCAAATTCATATTTTCTTATTAAAATATTGACGGGCATTGTACTGATCTGGCGGAACAGGTAATTAAATCGAAAGCAGGCAGCCATAATGCTGAAAACCGGCTCTCGTTATTTAGCCCGCTGTGTAACTTGAGAAAGTACGGGCGATCGAATTGCCTTGAAATATGGAACGACAATCACCGCACAAAACCGTACGCCCATACGACTATAACAGTCTTTTTCGTTTACGACAAAATGGTAATAAGGCTGAGAGAAAAAACCTCCGCAAGTTTCTAATAGATGAACGGAAAACATCTTCGCAACTAATTAGCCCACACGGTGACTAGAAAAATCCAGTTTAAATAAGTTTTATACAAATGCAACTAACGAAAACAAAGAAAATAATCATACAATCCGTGTTGCCGCTTTCATTTCTACTATTTCTGATATTTTCAACTATGAAAAAACTACAAAACATCGCGAGAATCTGATCGGATTCTGGACGTTTCTCGCATAAAATCGAGCACACTCGATTCGAGACTGATGAAGATCGGCTTTAATTAACCGGAGAATTAAATTAGAGCCAGCAAGAGCTGGATTGAATGTTCCCGATGTGTTGGTTGCTTAAAGCAAATTATTATTATCTTTAATGAATGAATAAATCTTATCTAGTAATGAATTTGGGTCCTGTGGACAGTGACTTTGCGCGGGTCGATTCTTCGCAAAAATGAAAATTTTCTCTCAAAATGTCTTAAATTTTACATCATTTTCAGCTCACTGACGCGACAATGCATCGAATTCATTGGAAAACATGCTAACAGTTTCAGATCCAAAATAATAGACATTTTCGGCACATTTTAATGGTTTTTTGAGCGTTCACGATCTCTAACCGACGATTTCTTCCTTATTATTGACTCAAACACTTTATAAATGCACATTTGTGACCTTCTTACGTCGA